TCATCCAAGACACTAATGTATATTGTGAGGGTGACCTGGCCTCCTGATTTACTGCTGGTTCCCATTGGAGACACAAGGCACACCAAATGTAGGAGAATAATCCCTTGGATCTGCATTGTGTGTCACGTTGTCGATGCTCGCAGCTTTATATATGGGAAGCGTTCTTTTCACCCGATCCGATGCGGTAACGCCTCCACTGGTCATGTGATATAGACTCACCCAGGAGCGAACGGTCCGTCTCCATTATGTGCTTCTTTTTATCCAAAGGATTAAAAATTTCACATGCCTGCCTGTCATAATGTCGTGCGTATACATGTGCGTATACTAGTGTGTATACATGTGCCTTGTTGTTTCGCGTTATATTCAAAACGGTTCTCCGGTCTTAAGGTGCTTTTTTCCTGTGTTGGGTGTAGTTGAATTGTTTGTTGCCTTTCTACCTCGTACCTGGTGGTTTTCACATATATACATATGGGCACTCAAACGTTGCTTGCTCCCCATATGCCTTATAATTATCCTGGGGAGAACACTGCAAACCGGGACGTCTACTCTACACAGATACAGAGGTTATTGGGAAAACATTCATGCAAACCTGTGCACCGGTTTGTCTCAATAACACAGAGCACCACGACATCCAAGATGCTGGGTTTTCTTCATCCATTAAATTTGTCAAAATTCATGCACACCTCATGCATAACTATATCAAGCCCTTATGGTATGATGACATTCAATATAATAGGGTAACCTGGTTTAACTCATTGCGCGCGTTAATGCGCATGCGTGGAATTACCGCGTCCGCGTGGTTTTTTCGAGTTCGTGCGTGCCGTTTTGTTTGCGTGTTTATACTCGGTGTAGGCCCGCAGACGAAGCCCAGATTCGTTCTTCGTGTGTTATAAAGCCTAGTGTCATCTTAGAGCCGCAGGGAGGCCACATTTCCATGGCAGATCTGCATTCATCGCTCTTAGATGCGTATTATACGCGCGGAAGGTGGTGCAGCTGCTGCGCACACCAGCCCCGCCTTTTATTTTGTACATGCGCAAACTGTGCGCCCACTCAAAGGTCAAAGGTGTAGCAAGGTATGGCTGTGCCAGCGACTAGCGACGGCAACTAGGACGAATAGAGTAGTGAGTGTTCCTACGTGTCTATATATATGCCGATCGCGTTGGCTAACATCCGCGTAACGAATCTATATATAGATCCGCCGCGCGCAATGAGTTAAGAGAACTTACTCTGTTTTAATGTTATTCCAACTCCCTCCCCTGTTCCACTTAACTGCATGCATCCACTGCACAACAAACCTGTATGTAAATAAGTGGGCAGACTCTTCTCAATAAAGATCACGACGTACACTTATATAGTGGGCATGTATACATGCATTTTACAATTCGGACCAGAGTGTAAGCTCACTTCACTCACTGACAGAAAAGAGAAGTATATAAACTGTAGTTGAAAAACGGTCATATATACATTCCTTCCCACATAATAGCTCACTGATTATTCGCATCTAGTTCCTGTCCGAGTGGCGACTGCCGATCCCTCCAGATTTTATGCGAACATAGTTCCTGCAGCAATGCACAGAGTTCACAATGTTCTCCTTTCAATGCCTTATCATCACAGTCTGTGAAAAATGCGCATTCAGTCATTGATACCAACCCTCCTGTGTGACGAGTAGCTCGCTGATTTGTAGAATTTAATCTTCTCCTCTAGTTCTTGTCCAACTGCTGATCCCTCCAGGTATGCTGACATATAGTTCCTGCAACGACGATTGATAAAAACGTCAAGTATGCTATTATAAAGAATATAAAGGAACCTTAACATCAATGATCGAAAAAGCTTTTGGAGACAGCTAGTGATGATATGTTAGAGATAGTCCATTGTGAAATACCCCTACACACCTTTCCTTCTCTGCACTGTAGTGGTTCAGGGAATGTTCGAGGAGGTTGAACCACTCCGAAGTAGAGTACATGTTTCCTACACACCTTATTCCCCTTGTACATAATATGTTCTTAAAGAAGTCGGCACCACTTGGAATCAGGCTTAGTGATGCACCTGGGGTCTCTCCATCTGCAGAATTATGTGTGGTGTCTTAAACAACGCAGTTATCGGTTTTACCTTCACAATCATTCTGAAGGTCCATAAACAGCCTTCTTCTCTTGGTCTTTCATTGTTCCCAGCCTCTGAAAAATGAACATTTGTATAAAGGTTCTATATTACTTCTGCAAAAATTAATGTACAGAAGGTACGTAAGATGCTAACCTCCACTAAGTGGTGACTGATTCAGCAATAAAAATGGTTTCAAGAGATGTGGATACATATGTACATCAGCTACACCCATCACCTGTAATCTGAACTGGTCAAACACGGCTGTGTTATTCTTCACTGAGCCCTATTGTTTAGTTAGCCCTTATGTACCGATACATTAGCATATTCTTGCAACATACACAGCACCTTTAATCCAGATTTCAACTGGTCTAGCACTGCTTTGTTATGTTACAGTGTATAGTGTAACATTAAGGTGCTGGTGAGCTCTTGCTTGCAGTCGAGTGAGATGGTCACTAGTGGCTTTGTTATATCCATTCCACTGAACAGGCCTCCTGCAGATCAATGTCACTTCTTGCGCCGTCTATCTACAAAACAATGAAGTAGCTATTACATAGCTACATTTGTGCAAAATCCAAGCCATAATAACAATACGAACCATAAGAGAGAGGCTGTAATATACAAATATATACTGTTTGTGGCCAATAGAGTGGTAAGACAAAACTACAGTAACACCTGCTGCACATGCACACTGAGGTTTGGGTGGAGCTGTGGTGTTGCCTTTTGCAGCCGCAGTGTTACGTCTACATTTGGAACATCTTATGCAGATATGTACTTTGATTGAAGACGTGTCCACATCCCGCAGTTTGCACAGTTGCTAGTGGCAGTGCTACAAGTTGCACCCGGGCTCAGTGGTTTTGTTGCATTCTCGCTGCGCATGCGCATGAGCTTCGTGAACCAGTCTCTTTATCTGGTGGTGAACCCGCCATTTTCGGGTACCCAGGGTCATGCACGCGTTGTGCAGACGTTGGTGAGATGGCGTCATCGAGAACGTGGATGCTCCAGGCCATTCAGAGCACCGTTTCAGATATTGACTCGGTCTGAGATCATAATACTTTGTCTATCGATCGTGCTAAGGTTCGCCTAATCACTACATGTTGCTGAGACGGACTTCACTGGAACCATCATGAAAAATCGTGCCGACTTACCAGACACGTTTCGTCCTCAGCTGCGAATGAGTTCAGGTGAGGTGAGTGCTTACAGGGCTGATCATCTTTTGGCTTTAGCTTGGCTTGCTGAAAGGAAGAAAAAGCCAGTCATCATGATTTCAACTTCTTCCTCAGCTGCAGTCACTACAGTTATGCCCCGAAATACACACGTTCAGCCACAGGTAAAACCTGTTGTAGTAGACTCCTACAATCACCACACGAATGGTGTAGACATCACTGACCAGTATTCTGCCTACTAGAGCTTGGCGTGGTGGCGAAAGGTTGTCTTTTGGCTCTTCAAAACGGCAATGGTCAACAGCTACCTCCTCTACACCGAGTCTACTCCTTCACCGATGCCTCACATTGCCTTTTGTCCAAGCAGTGTAGTCGCACACTATATAGTTATGATTCTCCGGTGACACGGCCGCCTACTGAGTAGCTCACTAGTAATATATAATCTCTTTAGCGAGCTCGATACACCGATACAGGACTCTGATGAGTACAACAAATCACTGGCTTATAAGCATGAACATTACGTACGTAAGATGACGTATGACACTTGACACATAACCAGACGTGCGCAGATACAACATTACGCAATACACCACATTCCTCCCTCTTTAGTTCACAATAACTAAAAGAGTGACTACAAAAACAATTCAATAAGATTGTTCCTCAAACCTTACGGGTGGATGTTCATTGCGTGCGGATTGTCTCAGTGTGGGAGGACTCTCCTCAAACGACTCTTGTCATTCGGAATTATTGAGTTCTTGAGCTGGTGTTACCACAGGTGCAGGTAGTGCTGTGTCAGTGGTGGTTGGTGTCACTGGTTCAGTTGACTGAGTTTCTTGGTTCTCAGGTACAACCAATTGTGTTTCTGTCTCTTGATCTTCACCAATCCCACCATCCAGCTCAATCGGAACAGAGGAATCTCCTATGTCGTTGTAGGCAGGAGCACGGCTTTCCCCGTCATCCACACGAAAACGAAGTTGATCTGCATGACGTCTTACTGAAGGTACGTAAGATGCTAACCTCCAGTAAGTGGTGACTGATTCAGCAACAAAAATGGTTTCAAGAGATCTGGATACAAACATCAGTTACACCCATCACCTGTAATCTGAACTAGTCAAACACTGCTGTGTTATTCTTCACTGGGCCCTATTGTATAGTTAGCCCTTATGTACCGATACATTAGCACATTCTTGCTACATGCACAGCACCTTTAATCCAGATTTCAACTGGTCTAGCACTGTTTTGTTACGATACAGTGTATAGTGTAACAATAAGGTGCTGGTGAGCTCTTGCTTGCAATCGAGTGAGATTGTCACTAGTGGCTTTGACTATAAGCATTCCACTGAACAGGCCTCCTGCAGATCAATGTCACTTCTTGCGCCGTCTATCTACAAAACAACCAAGTACGTATTACATAGCTACATTTGTGCAAAATCCAAGCCATTATAATAACAATACGAACTAAGAAATGCCTAAGAGAGGCTGTAATATACAAATATATACTCTTTGTGGCCAATGGAGTGGTAACACACAACTACAATAACACCTGCTGCACATGCGCAGTGACGTATGGGTGGAGCTGTGTTGTTGCCTTTTGCACCAGCAGTGTTACGTCTACATTTGACGTACTTTGAATGAAGACACGTCCACATCCCGCAGTTTGCACTGTTGCTAGTGGCAGTGCTGCAAGTTCCACCCAAGCTCAGCGGTTTTGTTGCGTTCTCGCTGCGCATGCGCATGACTCTCCAGTTTGTGACGCAGTAGACCTTTCAAGCAGAGCTCAACCACCCCCTTCTGAACTAGCAACCTGTAAGTAATCGTGAGTTCTTATGGTTGTATACAATACTGGTAGGGACAGACAGACCTTCGGAATTTGAAATTAGCAGCAAGAGGATGTAAAGTTCCTAGCAGAAAGATCTCTAAAAGTTTAACATTTCGTATACTTGTGGACCAGTCACTAGCTTGCACATGTTGCAGTAGCTGTATTATGAAATTCAGCCCACCAGCTCTGAGAAACACCTCTTTGTTCATCTGCTTCACTGATGACCTCCAAGGCATAAACAAGTCCTAAATATGAGTGTAGTGTGTCATTATAAAACGCTTTGGACCAAATTTTCGGCTGGGCGCTTCTCGCACCGTTAGCGTGCGCGTCTGGCTCGAGCTGTAGCTAGGGCCCTGTAGTAATGCACCGCTTCCTACTAGAAGACCGAATACCTTCGTGAACCAGTCTCTCTATCTGGTGGTGAACCCGCCATTTTTGGGTGCCAAGGGTCATGCACACGTTGTACAGACGTTGGTGAGATAGCATCATCGAGAACGTGGATGCTCCAGGCCATTCAGAGCACCATTTCAGATATTGACTCGGTCGGAGATCATAATAATTTTTCTATGGATCGTGCTAAGGCGTTAAAGTGGCGGGTGGAGCTTGAGTACAGGGATCTCGTGGCAAAGGAAGTGGCTGAGGAATTTGCATCTGAGGAACATTAAGCACACACACCGCTGACGCATACTTGCATCTGCAGGAGCTCGTAGAAAGCATTGAGTTGCTTCCACCTCCTGGTCCTTGACCAGTGCAAGTGCTTGACGGTTCAGTTGGAAGGCCTTCCCACCACATTCCATGCCACCTCTTTAACGTCGAAAAAATACATATAGCTAGCTAAAGTAAGTATCATGTGGGAGTTCAGAGATTGGTATGCAATTTTAGATTGCATAAACTTGTGACACATAGTGATGGTTCTGCCCAGACTTGTTCCACAAAATTCAACTTCCTCGCCAATCACAACCCTTATCATCCATTTACCACTGGTGACATTTACAGCAGAGGCTGTAACCGTTTCCGTTTCAACTGTTTCTTTGGGCTGTGGGATAAGAGGCTGGTCCATGGCTAACAAATTCTTCAAGTGTCGGAAGCTCAAGCCAGCTTTCTGCATGCACCGCCTTGGAAGAAAAAGAAACTCTCCAATCCCTTCATTGTGTTCTCTGCACACTATTGCCCATTTTTTTTTGTGTTAAAAGAGGTAGCCATGGTAAGCTGTTGCATTCTGAGCCAGAGCCACCGGATGTTATTTCTGCAGGTTGTTCAAGACTGTCGGGATTTTAATGTGTGCAATTGCTACGTTCCTCATTGCTGCTATATATGCACAGAGCCTCCATAAGTGCATAAGAATTTATAAATGGCTATAATACTAGGCACTAATTACATCAATTTCTGCTTATATAAGGAGACACCTATGGCGCCCAAGGGTTAAAGCACACCGGGGGACCTCTCTGGAAGCTAGTACAGGGGTATTTGGACATCGTACACCACTCGGATGTTTTTCAGGAATCATTCGTGTGACAACACAGTCATTGTCCTTATCAACGATTTAATACACAAAACCCTTCCATCTAGGTTGGTTCAGTCACCATCTCTAAGCAATTAGCAAGCTGGGATGAACAGAAAATTGTTTGGTTTAATTATGTTGGTGTCTCTCGTAGCTCTTACAGATCTGTTAGACACTCAGATTGGAATTTATTCGCTTGCTAGTGCCAGGATATCATCCAGTGGCACATCTTTTTTTTGGCACAGTATATGGGACGTTCAGCTTAGTAATGTATGTGGTCTAAGCCCTTGTTCTTTCGCTTAGCTGCTCGACAAGCTGCTGCGCGAAACCACAAGTCTCTGTAGTCACCATGGAAAAAGACCATGCTGTCAATCTCAGCTGGGAGCATGTGACTTTGTTACGATGGAGGTCCAACCACTGCTTGTAGCATTTGCAAGAGTTACGTTTTGGTTGGTGAAATTATATGTGATGAAAGAGAGAAGAGGGCAAGACACTGAAATGGCCTTGTCAGAAAGCTTCGACATTCTTCAGGAATCATTTGTTTGATTGGTCAGAGTTTAACTCATTGCGCGCATTAATGCACATGCGTGGAATTACCGCTTCCGCGTGTTTTTTTCGAGTTCGTGCGTGCCGTTTTGTTTGCGTGTTTATCCTTGGTGTAGGCCCGCAGACGAAGCCCATATTCGTTCTTCGTGTGTTAGAAAGCCTAGTGTCATCTTTAGAGCCGCAGGGAGGCCACGTTTCCATGGCAGATCTGCATTCATCCCTCTTAGATGTGTATTACACGCGCGGAAGGTGGGGCAGCTGCTGCGCACGCCAGCCCCGCCTTTTATTTTGTACATGCGCAAACTGTGCGCCCACTCAAAGGTCAAAGGTGTAGCGAGGTCTATGCTGTGCCAGCGAGTAGCGACGGCAACTAGGACGAAGAGAGTAGTGAGTCTTCCTGCGCATCTATGTATATGCCGATCGCGTTGGCTAAGATCCGCGTAACGAATCTGTATATAGATCCGCCGCGCAATGAGTTCTCAGGACTAAACATCATTCTATGATAGTCTACTTTTTGATGATTATACTTGTAAACAATGCAATTTTCTGTTAAGTATGCACCGTGATATTTGCCTGTATTGTCAGAAGTGTAGTGTGTCACAAACGCACCAACTATTGTGTTCTCATCTCTTATTCATCCCTGTTGTGCCAGTATACCCCTTTTTAAATGTTAACTCCCACACTGATGTATGAACAGTGAATGTACTTTGACAACCATCTTGGTCCAATTGGAGCTCTTTGTTAAATAGTTATCTTATAGGCATATTGCCAGTGTTGTTTTTTTTGGGAGTACCTGTAGCTGTCCAAATGGTTTGTTCATAATGTGTCAATGGTTATTGCTTATTGTTTTTTTTCAGGTCTGTGAGCTACTGATCTGGCAAAAGAAAAGCTTTGAAGATAAAACTTCCACCATCAATTTTTGTGAGTTTATGAGTTATTTGTGTACGATGTTTACTAGTGTCAGTGTTTGTCCTATGGCAATTGCAGGTATATTATACATGTAACTCTGTATGCGGACTATAGATGCAGGTGGCTACTTTTGTGTTTTTATAAGTGTAAACTACAATCATCCTAAGACCTAGGCAGCCACTTATCTCTTTAGAGTCCATAGTGCCAGCTAGCTTGTCTCGGAAGTGATTCGCGCACAGCAGGAAGTAGCCCATCCTCTGGAAGCACAACTCTCAAGCAATCAACAAACCAGAGGTTGAAAGGTCGTGCAGCACAAACACCGCATAAAAGCTGCGCAATCGGTGAGCGCCGCGCATGGCAGCGTGAAATGATCCATGGAGTTCCACTGACTCTCAAAAGCATCCAAATGGAACGGAAAGGTATTAGTGAAGTATTGTATTCAAAAGCGTGTGGTCTAATTTAGCTGTCTTGCTAGCTTCAGGAGTGGGAAAAAACGCATTCAGACCACACAGTCTAACGTAGTCATATGCATGCACGCAAAGATGCAATGACAGACC